ATTTATAGATTTTGCACTTTATTGGTTTTTTCCCTAGAATGAAAGTTTTAGAAATGCTTATTAGTTTGCTACAGAACTTACTGATTGCTGCTAATAATTTTAACATTTTGGACTGAAGAATTAGAGGAAGGTAGAAATTTGTTAAATTGTATTTTATGACAACGTATTTTAATGTAGATTATTAAAGTAAACACATAGGTAAAATAATTCTTTGTGTAACTTAGATTTTTCTTAAAAACAATTTATAAAATTATTTCAAGGCACTAAATGAAACAAAACTTTCTTAGATGTTATATAAATTAATACTTTTTGCACAATAGTTACCATACACCTAAGACTTAATACTTTGATACCAAAGCATTATTTTTTTACTATGGTATGTTTTTAAAGTCCTTTGTAAGTAAAAACAAACAAGTATATAAACATAAGCCTTAACCCATAAGCTAATATCCAACAAAGTACAGCTATTCTCGAAGAATTAAGATACCAACCACTTAGTTTTAAAAAAATGAAATAAACTCTGGCTAATGTGGCTCAGTTGGTTGGCCCATCATCCCAGGAACCAAAGGGTCTCTAGTCTCTAGTTCCATTCTGGTCAGGGCACATACCCAGGTTGTGGGTTCGATCCTTGGTTGGGCATGTACAGGAGGCAACTAATCAATGTTTCTCATGTTTCTCTCTCATGTCCATGTTTCACTCTCTCTCTTTTTCTCCCTTCCTCTCTCTCTAAGATCGATAAAATACAGACCCTTGGGTGAGGATTAAAAAATGAAATAAATCTTTAATCACAGAACATTCCATTTTATTCACCAGTTGGCACAATGTCTATATTTTAAAGATGTTGAGTGACTTCCTCAAACCTATATTACTAGCTTGTGTCAGACTCAGAATAAGACTCCTAAGTTTAATTCACTTTTGCTTTTAAGTACTCCATTTTTAAACTAACTCAGAATTGTTATTTTAAAAATTAATTTAAATTGCCTATTGAAAAAGAGAACCTTATATTAGATATTAATCTACAACAATAGAAGTGATTACAATGTTATATATTAATATTCATCTAAGATAGCAAAGCAATGGCATTTACCTTAAATTTACGTCTCTGCTCTGCACAGCTGTTGAAGAACCACAAGTCTGTCTCATGGCTGTAAATGTAACAAGAACAATAATGCGACCAATTTCATACCTAAACTAAATTAAGTAGATCTGTCATAGGCTAGAAAATGGATAATGTATTTTACAAAATGTTTTTAATTACAGATTATGGAAGTGTGCATGTGTGCATAAAACAATGTGAACTTACTCTTTTCAATAAGGAAATTCATTTCATGAAATTGAAAGCATTACATATTCTCTTTGGCTAACTTTCCTCCTATAGACCACTATGGGTACATCACGTCTAGGACGTGCTAGGAGTAGATACAGAAAAGTAAAGTAAAGTAAGATAAGAGGCCATCTTCATTTTAGGGTTTGTTTTTCTGAGATACATAGTAGAAATGTAAAAAAGAAAAATCTGGTAATGCTTAGTTTAATATCAGCTCCAATCTGCATCACAATCATTTTATATTAATCATCAATATGTCATTAATCAATATATTAACTGATTGGCCCTATTTAAGTGGTGTTTCATGCAATGAATTAATATGTAAACATGTTTCAAATACATACATTCAGATATCTATACATGAAAGTGAAATCACTACTACAATTGGTAGGCTCATAGATGGGATTTTTCTTTCAATTTTGTAGTAGATATGCTAATATCTATGCTATCTGTAGCAGAAAAACAAGAAAAATGTGAATGAAAAAGTAATAGTAGATAGATACTAGTCTGCCAGCAATAGGCTCTCTGCCATGTCACACTTCAAATCTGGCTACCACTTTTCAACATTTAAAAGAAATTCAGTTGAGTATAACAAGCAACAAATATTGTTCTTGTGACTTGAGCCATCAAAATATTTTTCTAAAATCTGCATTTTCTTTCAAACTTTATAAAATAGTTATCCATAAAAATTATATAGTAAAATGAAAATCACATATCTCTTTTGGTCCTCTAACCAGCACGATCTATTATTAACACCAAATGACTTGCTTTCAAGCGCAGATTTTGAAACATTTTCACTTATTTTTTTAAATCTAAAAGATAATCTACACCAACTCTATTATGAAAGATTGATTAAACAGTTAAGTAGAAAAAAAGCCTGCTGGCATAGCTCAGTGGTTGAGCATTGACCTATGAACCAGGAGATCAAGGTTTGATTCCAGGTAAGGGCACATGCCCAGGTTGTAGGCTCGACCCCAGTATGGGGCATGCAGGAGGCAGCCAATCAATGATTCTCTCTCATCATTGATGTTTCTATTTCTCCTTCTCCCTTCCTCTCTGAAATCAATAAAAATATATTTTTAAAAAAGAACTAGACTGTGATAAAATCATAAAAGTTTTAAAGTGCTAATTTCATATTAAATATTTATAATTAGCAAAAATATTCTATCCTTTTCCTTAACACGAGTGGCAAATACATAGTGCAACTCATGTTAAATGATATTTGCAGATGCAAAAATAAGTATTACTTAATATCCCCCATTGACAACATGTATAAGCTAGTATAAAATGCTATTAGGTTTCTATTAGATTTTTTATACAATCTCAGCATGTTTCTAGTTGCAAAGCTTACCAAGTACTACAAAATACTAAAAATGTAGAATCACATTATATTAACTGCTGTGTATATTTCGGTGAACAAATAAGTCTTCAGTCATTATTCTAAATTCTCATTCTTAAAAACCAACTTTTCATTCCTATGACATTTTGACATGAGATCCTATTAAAATTCCAAAAGAATAATAAAATTCTAGAGTTTTATATCTGTATAATCAAGATATATTTGTGTTAATATGAATCACAAAACACTAATAAGTGACACAATGAACTATAGAATGGTTAGCAATTGAAGTTGTTAAAAGGTATTTGTAAATTTTTAATCACCCTTTTATAATAAAAATAAAATTTTCATGATCAAAAATTAGATCCGGATTTTGGGTTCAATTCCTGGTCAAGGGCACATGCAAGAAGCAACCAAAGAATGCATAAATAAGTAGAACAAGAAATTGATATAAAAAAATAAAAATAAAAATAAATAAATAAAATTGAGGGCTTAGGCTCAAAATTTTATTTATACAACATCTGGTACATAAGCAACAATTTCTTACTTTAGAGTCATAACTATTCCCATATTAGCGTGTGTGTGTTTTGCCAAGAAAATTATGTATATTTTGGTTAAACAAAGTATAGCTAAATTTTGCCTTTCAATACAACAAAAAGAGAAAATAGAAAAATTTCAGCCCAGCCATTCCTTCCAGAAATATCCTGGTAATCATCAATAAAGAAACTTCTCCTTGACTTAGCTTTGGAGAGGAAGGTACAACTACTTGGTCTAATTTGTCAAGAGATAAGATGGAATTAGGACAATATATATAGTCTCTTTCAGATATTAAAAACAGTAAACTCTTTCCTACCTTTGGCTTATGCTGCGAGCATCTACTAGTAAACCTCCTTTTCTATACCAACAAGAAAGCACAGTTCCCGGTTTGAAGCCACAGTGAGGATGAACATTCCGTTTGCTATCTTCTGTGACTTCTATGTAAAATTTTCTCTGTCACATAAATGTATATAGAGGCTCTCATGGAATCAGATAACTCAATGGAAATGCTCAAATCACTATTATTACTTAGGGAAGTACATGATGGTAAGTAAAATGTCTCACTACAGAATTACTGATTAGTTAAAACAAAAGAACGTGAAATTTATTTTAAAAGAGAAAAAATTAAGATGGATATTAAACTCAGGCTATTGCAGTATAACTCACATACAATCGTGGCAGACATCTGTACTTTTCTCTGTTAAAAGGCATGCCCCATCCCCAATTCCCCCTTCTTCCCACCCACTCCCCCAAAATGGGTTTGTTCCCAAGAAATATATTCTCATCTCACATCTGTCTAGGGACCATAAATTAATCCAGTTTTTAGGTAATAAGTGGTTTCTGGATTGTGTACATCAGTAGCCTATAATTCTCTGTCAGAAGGCCATCGTGTAAGACTTAGTTACTAACATCTGGGAGTACACCTACAAAGGAAAACAGACAGCTCGGCCATAAAAATTTTCAAAATAGTTTTGTTAAAGCAACAAGAAAGATGTTTACTTTTTTGAAAAAAAACTAAGCTTGCCTTATTAGACATGTATGTAACTTGGATTTAAAAAAACATTGCTTATCCTCCAACAAAGCTGATAAACATTTTGAAAGATGTTTGATGCATCTCCAGATACCTTCCAAATATTTTTTCAAATGAAACCTGAAAATGTTTATTTCTTGGAGAAAATGCCCTAAATATTCCTGTTAAGACTAAATAAAACAATGGTTACATTATATAAGAAAAATTTACTTTAAACGACATACAGACTATCAGTTCCACAGGACAAACATAGTGAGTAAGGACAACAAACTCCAGAGTGTATTTTTATAACTGTAGCAACAGCAATAACTCCGTGGCGAATTCATTTTTTCTGACAAAATGGGAGGTTTTCTGCATTTGTCACTTGAATACAACTACAGAAGGGTTGTCTAAGCCTGCTTTGTTTTACTCCATACCGTTTTACTATGATTTGCTTTTAAGAAAGAAATGCCACATTTTTACCTGTTTGTGAATTAAATTCCATTCAAATCCCAGAAAGTTTAAAGCAAACTTTTATGCCCACGTATACTAAATGTGGTTCCTACATAATTTTTGCAGTAAGTGACCCTGTAAACTTTTGAAATCTATGCTAATAGAAAATTCTTTCTTTCTCTTTCAAGAAGATAAAGCGAATTCTCTTTTTGAATGGAAATTATCTACATGGGCAAACATCATAATTTTCTGTATGTATACAACTGAGTCTGCATTTCTGTTCTCATAATAAATATGTTTTAAAATAAGACCCCCAAGGACAGGAATACATTACCTACCTGCAGTGGTCTCTGTTTATCACTGCTCTTAGGAGATTTTAATCCACTTGTTTGCTGCTGTAAGAGAAGTTGTCTTGCTGCTTGGAGAGCCTAGAAGTAAAAAGGGAGCAACATCTAAATATTTTGTTAAAGGTAAATTGAGGATCAGTTATTCCCTGGTTACTAGTAATAAGCTTCAATGTATAAGAAGCCCATCCAACCCTCCTTTCTAGAGAAAATCATTAAATATTCTTGTTTTCTAATGTGAAAAAAATTTACATAACACACATATACAAATTTACTTAAAACCACAGAGATGGCTTTTATCCTGCAGGAAATAAAGTTAATTTGTTTAAAGTGCTTGAAAAGGAAAAATATCACAAACTGCCTCAGTAATCTCATTTCCACAAGGAACTTGTCTTTGAATGTTCAACTATAATGCTCACTCCCTTTTAAATCATCATCCAATTTGTATTTTCATATTACAATTTTGAAGCAAAAGCAGTAGACTTCAAGTGTTACCGGAAGCTGTAATTAAATTTGACAAATCAACATCAGATTATCTTGAAAGTGAATTAATAAGGATTTTCACTAAAGATTTAAAATACATTTTTTTTTTGGTCATTGAAATGCAAGAAGAAATCTCTCCTTTGACAAAATAAAGTGCAATTTCAATGCCAAATAAAACTGAGTGGTTTTCATTTACATTCTTAGCAAAATCAGAGAACAAAGAAATTACCACTCAACCAATCAGGTTTATTGCTATGTGCGATAGAACACCAATCAAAATAGATATTTTCATGGTTTCTTTCCAACTCAGGAAAATAAAACAACATAAGAAATTAATATAAGCATTTCTTTTGCAGAGAGGTAGTTTGGCCATTATACTCTATAAACTAATATAAAAACTATTGCCATAACAACAACAAAAACCCACATATTGAGATGTTTGAAAGGTTAACAGTATAAACTAATTAAAAAAAAACTTTAAGAGCCTTTACTATACAAACTTATTTTTCTCTCAACAACTGAGTTCAATAAACATTAATGATGAAATTTGCCAACACATGAAACTAAACCACTTCTTTCCTTTGTTATTCGCTGTTTTAGAATATGTGACAAAGTTTTCAAGAAGGGGAAAATATTTTAGATGACTTTTCTTCTATAATAATTAAGATTCTAAGCAGAAAAAAGTACAATTTCCATTGGAATCAATGATATGGTTTTTAAGGGAGTTTCTAGTATCCATGACAACAGTTGCTTTGACAAGATGTGCATATGGCATTACACTGCCAGCTGGTGTGAACAATGTTTGAACTACTGCATTGAGATGCTGAGCAAACAGAAAAAGTTGCCATGTCTTAACCCTCAGGGAAGGCAGTCATCCCCTGATCAATTATGAAAAGACAGAAAGGAGGGCTGCTACAGCCTGGCTCCAAGCAAGTTTTCTGAGAAGGCAGCAGACATAGAAACCAAAGTAAACAAACTGCATGCACTCGCACCATCTCCTAACAACATTGATTTATCTTCCCAGAGCAGGATCCTGCGTAGTTTGTAAAGCACACTTTTTGGAAACACACTCACTCAAAAAAATCTCCCTTTTTTCTTCTTTTAAATTTTCCAAGTAATCACAAGTCAACCTAAATGCTTCTAAGGATGAAACATCCCAGGGAACTTAGCAATTTTATGATGAAGTTCGGTGTGAATAAAAGACCAAATAAAAATTAATTCCATAAACACATCGCAAAACACAATTTGAACAATTTTCCTTGATAGTCCAATAATATTACTTTCTGTTTAAATCACAACTTAAAAACTAACTACCAATGATATTTTTTTCAAATGGAAATTACCACTGATCTAGGCTGTGTCAATGTGAAAATCTTGAAAAGTAATCAATTAGTTTTCCTTTTGGTGCCAAATCCACAGAAAACTTGCCTAGTATTTTTCATATAATTGCTTTCCTCTTTGAGGCCCTTAGTTTATTTTGCATATACTCAGCCTTATATAGATTATATTTGATTCTGTCATTGTTTTACTATTTTTCAAGGGTTTTAATAAGAGTAGTTCAGGATCTTGAAGTGAAATCATTGAAATAGACGCCCTCATGTTAGCAAATAAGGAACATAGGCCTTAGCTTTGTTCACCGTGTCCAGGCTTCAGGCCAGAGTACAGCCCAGTGTGGGTTACTGCCTGCTCTGTCAAAGGAGCTGTTAGGATGCAACGAATAAAACTCTACAAAGAAGAACATATGACAAGAGGGCATACCCCTTTATCAGGAACCTAAAAAGGGAACTACAATATAAGATTGTATGTTTTCAATTTGTAAATGTTTGAATAGAAAAACTATCACAGGGTATATGTCATTTTTATGGCTAAGCATTCCCACCGTCCTTGTGTTGGACTTCATCACATAGTCTACGAACACGTGATGGGGTGCTACTGTCCTGTATCACTCCAATCATTTGACCAGTTATTAGTCATAAACTGAAAAATTCCAGAGCTGGAAAAAACACACCTTAGAAATTGGTTATCCTAATTTTCACATTTTGTAGACAAGGAATTGAAGGACCGATACTATAATAACTTGATTAAAGTCACAAAGCAGTAACAGTTTGGTCAGAAACTCAGACTCTTGTCTGTCAAGTACAAAATCCTATCCATTTCTGCCTTATATTCAGTCAACTCAACCCAAACAAGTAACCCAATGGAATGAATATATGCAACGCCCAATGGCTATAGAAAGACACTAGAAAATTAGGTATGTTAGAGTTGTAGCTCATGAAAATATTGCTAGGCAAATAGATACATGTGCACTGTTGTTAAAGGAGTACTACTAATAGTAGAATACCACCAGCTATTCGGCTAAATTATGCTTCTACTTTTAAAGTATGTGGCTTGCATATGCATTTGCATTTATCTTTGAAACAGTCAAGGATAATCTTTCAATACAAAAGCTTATGAAAAAGAACACCTTGCCTATTTCAACATTCTTTTTGCAGCAATAGAGACTTGCCATAGTACACTGAGAGGTGGGAGAACAAAAAACAATTCCAAGAGATCAAGAATGATTAGAAAGTCTTAAACATAAATCTTTTGTAGTTTGCATCTCAACTGCAGGCATTACGTGACATTTTTTTATTTCCAGTATTCTGGATAACACTTTAGGACTTAATTTCAGTAAACAATTGCTCAGACACTTTTAGTTCATCTTTGCAATTTATTATCGTAGCTACTCAAAAGATGAAAGATTATGAGCTAACATTTCCATCAATATAAGGTGTTAGATGTCAAAATACACAGAATATTAATTTGCAAATCATTTGTCCACTTAAATTGGTAAATAGAAATTTTATATACCAGGATCATCCATAAAGTTCTATGAGCTATTTAAGTATTTATATGATCACCCTCCACAAAAAAACAAAAAGTTAATTTAGAACCAAAGGCAAAAGATGTTTGTTTACAAATCTTTCTTTAATATTGTCTGAGCCTGATTCAAATAAGCAAGAAAGAGGTTTCTAAGGCAGCCAAACCTACCTAGTTTCCCAAAACTATTTATTTTAAATTAAGACTACACTTTCCTTGATGAAGTTATTTAATTATAGTAAAGCTGAAGAAAACTAAGATAGGACACTTTTAAACTTGAAATCTGATTAAACTAAATATTTTGAAAAGAATAAAAAGCTGTATAATAGGTTGAACATATACTTTTGTTGTCGTTATTAGGCTGCAAGGGTGTGGAAATGCATGTTTTCCAGAATTCAGTGCATTTTGCTCTAAAATATTTATTAAGAACAACATTCTTAATAGTTAGTGTGTAATTTCAAATAAAGCACAAATGTTTAAGAATAGTAAAGTTTAAGCATATTACCCTTCTACAGTAGTAATAACTTTATGCTCATTATGAACCTCATAGGATTCTAATAAGTAGGTTATTATGAGAAATAAGGATGAAAAATTTTTGTGACCTGTCAGATCAATACTTTTTCCTTCTTGGGGAACATGGAAAACATTACTTTTTTTCTTCTTGAAAAACACAGAAATAAAATTGTGAATAGCTTAGAAAAACCCAGTTTAACCAAAAATGTTGAGTACTCTAAGGTTTATAAATAACTTCTTTTTTTTTTTCAAAGTAAATATATGTATATTTGGGGAAAAACAGACATCACTCATATCTCTCCCCATAAAAATAGGAATGCTTAACCTATCAGCCTGTTGCATTTGAGACATTAAAATGAAAAATGACATCTACACCCATTAATATCCTCAATGTATAAACAGCACAGCATGACACATTCCTGAGAGCTGAAGGCCACAAAATCTCTGTGAAACATAAATAACAAAGCACTCAGAAGCATATTTGATGTTGATATTCATCTCTGAGAAAAACACTGCTGCCTCGGCTTTTTATGAAAACAGATGCAGCCCAAATGGATCTCCTGTAATTGGTTTCAGATAGCGAGGTTAGAAGAAATGTGATACAAGAAATGATTATGTGAAACAGGCGAAACAAGAATGTTTACATAAGCACTCCCTACTTATACTGACAAGGGGTGTATACTTTGCAGGTAACCAGGACAACAACAACAAAAAATTGCCAGCAGGACATCCAGAATTTTGCTCTTCATACTCCCATATGACATCTTTAACGTGTCACTTTATAATGATGAACAAAACATGAGTTTTCCAACAGAATTTCATTTTCTAAGTATTTTCACAATTGTGGTTGTTAGAAAGTGTGTTCTGATCCTTCACAAAGGATATTAATTCCTATTCTGCTTGGTCTTTCCTCATATTATGTTCTCACTAAAAAGAATTTACTGATAAATGTAATCATAAGTCTCATAATGCTATTTAATAGAAGAAAATTAATCATCTAATTGTCATAACCTATTTTCAAACAGCAATCTATCAGAGTGAAATGATGCATCTGTAGCTATTGACCTTTCATTTTATCATGCCTGATACATAATTAGACTAAATTTGTTTGGGAGGGAAGCTAATTACTAGAAAATATTTTTGAAAATAATTATTTTTGTTTTACAGTGTATTTTACATAAAGTTAAAGAATAAATGTGTGGCTATATGGTGTTTATATTGAGAACTGC